ATCATCAGAAAAATGAAAATCAAAATTACAGTGAGATATCAACTCACCCCAGCTAAAAATGGCTTTCATCCCAAAGACAGGCAATAACAAATACTGGTGAGAATGTGGAGAAAAGGGAACTATTGTTCACTGTTGCTGGGAATGTAAATTACCACAACCACTATGGAGAACAGTTCAGAGGTTCCTCAAAATCTAAAAATAGAGCTATCATGTGATTCAGCAATCCCGCTGATGAGTATGTATCCCCTGTGAAAAAACATGTACTCTCATATTTGTTATAGCATGGTTTATAAGATCCAATATTTGGAAGCAAACTATCCATCAACATATGAATGGATAAAGAAAATTTGGTACATAAACACAATGGAGTGCTATTCAGCCATAAAAGAGATGAGATCCTGACATTTGCAACAGCATGGATGGAACTGGAGATCATCAAGTTAAGTGAAACAAGTAAGATAAACATTACATGTTCTCACTTATTTGCAGGATCTAAAAATCAAAATAATTGAATTCATGGACATAGAGAGTAGAAGGACTCTGATTAGTGGCTGGGAAGGGCATTGGGGGTGTATATTAAAGAAATATATGTTTGAAACATTGTTCTGTCACCTAAAAATTTATTTCTATCAATTTTTTAATCATAGAAAAGGTTGCCAAATATATGGCTTGAGTAAACATCTGAATAATTTATTTTGTAACACATTTTCATATAACAAGAAAAACCTCTTCATTTATAAATATGTGCTGCTTATCATCTCAAGAAATATGCACTGATGTCCCCAGAAAACTGGTAATTTTTACCCAATTTCAGGAGGTTTACAGAATCTGTATAAACCATTTGTGAACTATTTTCCATGCGATGGGTATTCAGGACCTATGTTATTGACAGAGTTTGAGACCCATATGTGAACAACTAATTTAAGTCAAGGCGTGTCCCATTATCCTCTCCAGTAGCAATGCCAGGCCAAATGTAAGACCCTATGCCTTAACACCAGTTTCTTTTAAATTTACTGAACTGGCATCCATCTTTTATGGACACTATCTAGAGAAAAATAATAACTGGTGCATTAACCTGTATAATCTATAACATGCTTTCACATACAAACTTTCATTTTATACAAAATTTTGAGTTACAAATTATTTTTTTAGCAGACCAGGAAATGGTGGCTTGAAATGTAACAGAACTCTCAAGGAAACTAGCAAATAGACTAGTAAATTCGATCTTAAATTCTGACAACTATTCTAGTGGATCCCAAATGCCAATGTGTTGATCTATACTTGATCATACAAAGATTTTACCCACCACGGTAAAAAAGGAACAGTGGGCAGAATTAAACAGAGGTTTCATAAAGCTAGAGGTACCTGCTCTCAAAATTGTCCTCTATGTTAAGAGGTTGCCTTTTTTACTTTTATAAAATTATACATAGTTTCCATTATTAATGATATTTATAGTAAGGCATATGTACATAAGATTTATGTCTGTGCATGTGCATGTATGTGCATAAAATTCACTTAACATTAGTGGCAAAATAACATGACAATAAGAAAGTACATTAATGGCAAAGTAAAACGTCGCCAACCCTAAACCTGAGTCTTGGTTTGTTTTCTAGCATACAGAGTTCCAAATCCTAAGTAACGTCTTCCATGGCACAGATGCCTAAAATTCATTCACTTAACATCAGCCTAATTGGATTATTGCCAAATCTCCTTTTTTCTCTTTTCCTCACAAAATCTCATGCAAATTTTTGACTTAGCCTAAACTTAAGATGTATAATTGCATTAATATTATTTACCCAATACCTCATTAAATCCAATCGAAACCTGAAGCAAATTTGAATTGATGATTCAATTTTTATTATTAATAATTATTGATCTTAAATTTTAAGTAATAAAAAGCAACTTTAAAATAAATCTTGCTAATCAATGTCATCTCAGATATTAATTTCACTTTCTATTGCTCACTTCAGGCAATTTTTGGCTCAATGTAACTAATTATTTTCAGATGTTTTTTATTCTTCCACTTTGCTCACAGCCAGGAATTCTTATATCCATATCTACTGTCAGTAAAATAAAATCACATTTTTTTTTATTTTTAATCATCTGTTCAGAAAATATTCACAACTAAGAATATAGAGATGATAAATTCTTTTCAAAATATATTCAATAATTTTGGGCTGTTTTCCAATACTTGACTTTTGAGGAACATTTTCAAAAGTACTCTTATATTAGAAGTCTGCTTATATTAAATCAATAAATATTGAGTATTAGTCACATAAGCCAACTCGTAAGCTTTCTTTCTGGTACAGTTGCATTGGCCTGTTTTCTTGTTTGTGTTTCCTCAGCTACTTACATCTTAATGCAAGAGTAATCAAGCTCACTTTTGTAGTAATCACATACTCATGCAATAAAGTCCAGGAAAAGCAGTGCTTTTATTTTAAAAGATGTCTTCAATCTAGTAAAATGATATAGTCAAAATGGACTAACATGCGTTTTTTAAAAAGCGCAATTCTGCTTTACTTTGAATTAAGGAACTCTTGCTATGTTTTTTCTTTTTCTTTCTTTCTTTTTTTTTTTGTAGAACTTAAACATGCACTTTTAATTTCAACATTATGAAACTTATCCTTGATGCAAGAATTGGTAAGCAATATGCAAGTTAAAAATAGATGTAATTTGAATAGAAGAGCTTAGAAACTCCGTTACCAAACAAAGCAAAACAGGAGAAGGCAATTTGATAGATAAGACGGTTGTTTTCACTGAAGTATTTTATTGACACCTCCAAACCAAATTTGAATATATAATTTCTATCTCTGCATTTTATAGGGCATGAAGTGTACATGAATGGACTGGAAATGACTATGCCAAGAGAACCTTCTATGTCCTCTGTGTAAAGTATCTTTGGCAAAACTTAAATAAAACACTGACTTGTTACACTGTTACTTTAACCAAAGTTAATTACACTTGGAAAGAGTAGTTCAAAAGGAGCAGCAGACTCTTTTTTTTTTAATTTTATTTGTTATTGCATTTTAGGTTTTGGGGTACATGTGAAGGACATGCAAGATTGTTGCATAGGTACACATGTGGCAGTGTGATTTGCTGCCTTCCTCCCCTTCACCTATATCTGGCATTTCTCCCCATGCTATCTCTCCCCAACTCCCCACCCCTCACTGTCCCCTATTTCCCCCCAACAAACCCCAGTGTGTAGTGCTCCCCTCCCTGTGTCCATGTGTTCTCATTGTTCATTACCCACCTATGAGTGAGAACATGCAGTGTTTGATTTTCTGCTCTTGTGTCAGTTTGCTGAGAATGATAGTTTCCAGGTTCATCCATGTCCCTATAAGGGACACAAACTCATCGTTTTTGATCACTGCATAATATTCCATGTGCCACATTTTCCCTGTCCAGTCTATCATCGATGGGCATTTGGGTTGGTTCCAGGAGCAGCAGACTCTTAAGAGGACAGCAAGGTAGGCTTTCTCAGTAGCTCGCAGGATGTTTAAATGTGATACATATAAAAAATGTAGGCCCAGAGTGATGGCTCATGCCTGTAATCCCAGCACTTCGGGAGGCCAACGCGGGTGGATCACGAGGTCAAGAGATCAAGACCGCCTTGGCCAAAATGGTGAAACCCTGTCTCTACTAAAAACACACAAAAAATTAGCCAGGCGTGGTGGAACACACCTGTGGTCCCAGCTACTCGGGAGACTGAGGTGGAAGAATTGCTTGAACCCAGGAGGCAGAGGTGGCAGTGAGCCAAGATTGCGCCACTGCACTCCAGCCTGGTGACAGAGCAAGACTCTGACTCAAAAAAAAAAAATGTAATGCACATAAAATGTGAGCAATAAGTAGTGAGTCACACTTTTGACACCCCCTGACTTGCAAAACCACAAGTAGTTAATACCAGTACCCTTTATATTTTAGATAAAGACAGTGGGTAATAATCATGCCAATCTGATATTTTCAGTTTGAACTCATAACTCAGACAGTCCATAGTGCTATTTGTCATTTCTACTATTTATTTCAGTCTATGTAGTCTCCCATTATCCTATAAATCTATTTTTCAAAATATTGAAGCAGAATCTAAGGTCTCTGGATCATATGTAGTCCTATCTCATCTGGATACTGTTTTTCTGAAGAGAAGGAACATATAAACTGCAGAGCTTCTGTACAGCAAAAGAAACAATTAGAGTGAACCAGCAACCAACAGAATGGGGAAAAATTTTTGCAATCTACCCATCTGACAAAGGGCTAATATCCAGAATCTACAAAGAACTAAAACAGATTTACAAGAAAAAAACAAATCCATTCAAAAGTGGGCAAAGGACATGAACAGACACTTTTCCAAAAAATACATATGAGGCTAACAAACATATGAAAAAATGCTCATCATCACTGGTCACTAGAGAAATGCAAATCAAAATCACATTGAGATACCATCTCATGCCAGTTGGAATGGCGATCATTAAAAAATCTGGAGACAACAGATGCTGGAGAGAATGTGGAGAAATAGGAACACTTTTACACTGTTGGTGGTAGTGTAAATTAGTTCAACCATTGTGGAAGACAGTGTGGCGATTCCTCAAGGACCTAGAACAAGAAATTCTATTCGACCCAGCAAGCATTACTGGGTATACAGCCAAAGGATTATAAATTGTTATATTAAAGACACATGCACATGTATGTTAATTGTGGCACTGTTTACAATAGCAAAGACCTGGAACCAACCCAAATGCCCATGGATGTTAGGCTGGAAGAGGGAAATATGGCACATATACACCACGGAATACTATGCAGCCACAAAAAATGATGAGTTTGTGTCCTTTGTAGGGACATGGCTAAAACTGGAAGCCAACATGCTCAGCAAACTGACACAAGAACAGAAAACCAAACACTGTATATTCTCACTCATAGGCAGATGTTGAACAATGAGAACACATGGACACAGGGAAGGGAGCATCACACACTGGGGTCTGTTGTGGGGGACTAGGGGAGGGACAGCAGGGGGTAGGGAGGTTGGGGAGGGATAACATGGGGAAAAATGCCAGATATAGGTGACAAGGGGAGGCATCAAACCACATTGCTATGTATGTACCTATGCAATAATTCTGCATGATTGGCATATGTACCCCAGAACCTAAAGTACAATTAAAAAAAAGTGTATATATATATATACAGTAATGAACACACACACACACACACACACACACACACACACACACACACACACACACAGAAAACTAGCCCCCATAGCTTTATTTGAGTTCATCTTCTTCTTGTGCGACTTGCTAAAACTAGCAATGAGTCACTTATTACTGCATGTAATGTTTTAAATATTTTCTGCCATTTTCTTTAGTTTTACAGCCTCCTCATTAAGCATGTAGTTTATTTTTAAATATACACCAAATGATGGTTTAATCAAATGATGATGATGATTATTATTTCTTAATGCCAGCTGTGTCTTGTACCATATGAAACTTATCCAACTACTTTCTCACTGCCTTGTTCAGTCACATTTTAGTTTGCATTACTATCAACACCTCACATCTAAATTATGCCTCTTTCAAGAATTCATGTCTAAATTATGTCTCTTTCAAGAATTGTGTTTAGTAAACACACACAAATGTATAACCTTAAAATATATCTGGAGGAAGACAGATCATGGCTGCTGCTGGTGGATTCATACTCATTAAATAAATGACAATTGTTTGCCATTCTCGGTATATAAGAAATGCGAGATTGCTAATTGGAATTCAGCCTACTCTTTCTCACTCTAAAGAAGTCAACAGAAGAGTGGTTGACTTTTATCTCTTAATTTATTTCTCACAGAGAATGAATCATGCCTATTCTCACTGACCAAAAGTGTTGCAAGAGTAGCTATGCCAATTAGTTTTTAGCTGGAAATATTGGCAAACTCCAGTAATACGAGGATCATTCAATAATTAGGAAGGGGAGATTACATACTGGAAATACAACATGTTCCCATCAGATATGCATGTGTACTCACACACTGTGCTTCATCTTCTGCTATTATGAATGAAAGTTTAGGCTTCTATCTGATGCTAAGACTTTCCCTTTTACATTATATCCCATACTCACATTAACATTTGTTCTACTCAAGGATATAGCTCCTGTGATTCTGTCTTCTTTTGGATTATCATGATCTGCTTCTCTATGTTATATAAATCAGCTTAAAAATATACAATCATTATGTACAACTCCTGCAACAAAACAGTTGTTTTGATGTTGTTTATTATGTAAATATCCTCTATCAGGTCATGTTTCATTTCTTTTTTTTATATTGAGATTTCTAATGAGGTGGGCATTAGCTATATGTGGCTATTTATATTTAAATTAATTAAACATAATTAAATATTCAGTTACACATTTTAAGTGTTCAATACCCACTAGTGACTATCATACTGGATAGTGCAGATAATATAATATTTGCATCTTTGTAGAACAATCTATTATACAGCCATATATAATGAAAACATACAAGTTTCTTAACACCTGAAGATAATTAAATAGTAGGTACCCTTTGTTAAACAAAAGAGTTGTTTATTATGTAAATATCCTCTATCAGCTCATGTTTCATTTAGTTTGTATATTGAGACTTCTATTGAGGTGGGCATTAGCTATATGTGGCTATTGATATTTAAATTAATTAAACATAATTAAATATTCAGTTGCACATTTTAATTGTTCAATAGCCACTAGTGACTATCATACTGGATAGTGCAGATAATATAATATTTGTATCTTTGTAGAAAAATCCGTTATACAGGCATATATAATGAAAATATACAAGTTTCTTAACACCTGAAGATAATTAAATAGTACATATCAAGGAGTGGGAGACACATCAAATGTTCTATGCAAAGGAAAAATTATAGCCTTAAATGCATAAATTAGAAAGGAAGAAAGTTGAACTCTAATGAGGTTAGAAAATCAGCAAAAGAACAAATCCAATGATTATAGAGTAAATAATAAGAAAATAAATTTGTAAAATGAAAACTAGGCCAACAAAGATCACCAAAGCCAAAAATTGGTTTTCTAAAATTAGTAATAACATTTATCAACCTTTTCAGGCTTATCCAGGAAGAACAAATGTTACCCAGAAAATAAATATTAAGAATAAAAATGAGTTTAATGGCATACCTAGTGATTAGGGGAAAAAAAAAACCCGAAGGCACAATATTAACTACTTTGAGTACATTTAAAGCATAAGAAGAAATACACAAATATCTAGAAAAATATAACTTACCAGTATTTCATCAAGAATAAATAAAAATCCTGAATAATCATTTAAATATTAAGTAATTGGCATAGTAGCAAGTAAAAAAAGAAGTAGCACTAGATGGTTTTATTGATTAACTCTATAAAATTCTCAGTGAGCAGATTATTCCAAAACTACAGAAAAGTAGACAACAGACTGTAATCCCAGCACTTTGAGAGGCTGACGCCAGTAGGTCACGAGGTCACGAGATCCAGGCCATCTGGGCCAACATGGTGAAACTTCGTCTTTACTACAAATACAAAAATTAGCTGGGCATGGTGGCACATGCCTATAGTCCCAGGTACTCAGGAGGCTGAGGCAGGAGATTAGCTTGAACCCAGAACAAAACAAAACAAAACAAAAAGAAAAGTAGATGACAGAGATGAAGAGTATTCTGCAAATCATTCTGTTAATTCATTAAACTTAATGCTATACCTGACGAGTACAAAAAGTATACTGAACATAAACGAAGACGAAAAATTTTTAAAATATATTACAATTAGTGTTAAATTGTGTAGCACATAAAAGTGTACAATATGAACAAATCTAATTTTCCCTAAAAATGCCAGGTTGATTAAACGATAGAAATATAATTTACCTCAATAAGAGATTAAAGGGTAAATTATATAAACATTTCTATTGATGCAACATTTATGCTTTTAAATACAAACTTAAAACACAACATTTTTAAAACATAAACATTCAGTAACTACTTATAAAAACTATTTTAGTGTGCTAAAAATGGAAGATTACTAATTTAAATTAACAAAGAGTATCTACAAAAACAACACTACTTCATTATGAAAGGATAAATATTTGAATCATTCTCTTTGAAGTCAGAAATAACATATGAATATCTATTATTGCCATCTCTGCTCAATATTGGAATGGTAGTTAGAAACAATGCATTAAGACTAAAAAATTCAAAATGTTAATAAATAACAAAGATTTTTTAAAAAGATAGCAGCAAAAACATTCATTATCTAGCAAGACTATTTTCCTGTTCACTTACGTCTTTTCTCCCACGTGTATCTGTATCGTCTGTTTTCTGATTCATTCTATATAGCAGGCATCTACAGTTTTCAGGTTTCCATGAAAACAGTCTTCCTTGTAGGTGCAACCAGTGGAAGCGCCTTGCAGAAATTTGGAGTCCAGGAAAACTAAGAAGCCTGAACATTTCGGTCTCTTGTTCTCTCTGTGCTAATATGTCCAGCAGAGACTCTGTTTCTTTGTGATGCTAAATTTCAAAAAGATAGTTTATTTCTGTGATCATAATTTCTATAGGAAGGCTCCTTATATCCCACATTCACAGGGTTCTAGCTGCTTCTGGAATGCCTTGGTTTCAATGCACAAATAAAACTACCTTCTGCCGGGCGCAGTGGCTCAAGCCTGTAATCCCAGCACTTTGGGAGGCCGAGGCGGGTGGATCACGAGGTCAAGAGATCGAGACCATCCTGGTCAAAACGGTGAAACCCCGTCTCTACTAAAACTGCAAAAAAATTAGCTGGGCATGGTGGCACGTGCCTGTAATCCCAGCTACTCAGGAGGCTGAGGCAGGAGAATTGCCTGAACCCAGG